TTGGACGCTGATGCCTCGAATCTGCTCTCCAAATCTGCGGAACGATTCCTGAAACGTAGTTATGAAGCGAGATAGTGCAGTGGCAGCGGCCCAGGCCGACGGAAAAGAGGTCGTGGGATCGAATTCTTGGCGATATCTCACATTTGCTTTCCTTGAGACATTGCTAAAGATGCTTTTATCCATATAAATTATTAGCGATTGCCTATATTACAAGTGGGAATAGCTAGCGAGGAGCATCTAACACTGTGCGCGCCATTCGCAAAAGATCGCCCCTTGTACTCGTAGCGCACGCGTCAGGCGCATTCGTGCCAAACAGAGGTGATATTCGTATTCAGCGCGTCAAAATGCCCCTTTCCACAACTTTTGGTCCAAATCTGAAATTTGTACTGGCGATCGCACACTTGATCGAAACTCCTCGCTATCTCCTCGCACTAGTAATAAAGGCGAGTGCTGATGACTTAGCATAGATGAGGATTTCCTTAACAATGTCCTCAGGAAAAGCAAAAGTCAAAACTCGCCGAAAATTCGATCCCACGACGTCTTTCCCGTTGGCCCGGGCCGCTGCCACTGCACTATCTCGCTTCATAACTACGTTCAGGGAATCGTTCCGCAGATTTGGAGAGCAGATTCAAGATCAGCGTCCAAAAACACATCTAGTGGTGTATGTCTCGTTACAAATGGCCACTTCGACCTGGGATCCTTCCCTTGTTAGAGAAGGTGAAGTGAGAAACATCTCGATGCCTCGATCTTCTGGTAGGATTATGTTTTAGCTCTAAACTAACTGTGTGGTTTGACCAATACAGCCCCTGCCCTTGACAGTGCAGCTGCTATATGTATGACAAGGGAAAGGAACGAATTCATGGCTTCGTACGTTCAAGCAAACTTCATTACCCAACCGACTATACTGATCGTGCAGCGGACCCTGCGACTACGCGAGACTAACGTCAGGGAAAAACCGAGCCTTTGAAAGTACTGTTCAATTAAGGAATGGATTCGATGCTTATGGGACTACTCGGTACCCCTTCGATGGCGTTCGATCGTCACATTACGAATGCGGTTTCGGCCCAATCTGTTTATGCAAGGCGTGTGAGTCCGACCAGCGTTTGGATCTCATTGGTGAGCTCCGTATGACTTTCAGTCAGCTCAAAGCTCGTTTGACATTTGATCTTAGAAAATTTGCTGGAGTAATCCTCACAGTTACACAGCATAGCTAATGAAAAGTTGCCATCAGAATATTCTGTCTTGGTCTAGTGTGTACGTTTAGTCCTGAACATACTTCGCACGTGATCATGGTGTCCAACCGTATAACGACCTGAGAGAATACTGTGGCTTGAGGAAAGCCAGAACTTTTGACGATCTCAGGGTGAGTCGTGGTTAAGTAACGCGCCATGTCAACATTACTGCTGTGAAGCCACATCGTGTTGTTCCTCTCACTCTTATAATAACCATACACTACTCCGCGCATAATTACCGATGAGCGGAACCCAGCTGTGGCTGTACACCAGTAAACTGATGGCACAAGACCGCACCAAGACGCGTTAACTATTAACCACCGCCAGCATACCCTGAGATCGTCACAAAGTATTCATCGCTTTCCTCCAAGCCCACAAGTGATTCTCGTGCAGGTCGATATACCGTTGGAACACGCATGAATCACGTGCCTCCCGAAGTATGTTCAGAACTAAACGTACACACTAGACCAAGACAGAATATTCTGATGGCAACTTTCATTAGCTATGCTGTGCAACTGTGAGGATTACTCAAGCAAATTTTCTAAGATCAAATGTCAAACGAGCTTTGAGCTGACTGAAAGTCATACGGAGCTCACCAATACAATCCCAAACCGCGTCGGCGCTCACACGCTCAATCAACAATTGATTCCACTAACCCCGCATTCGTAATGTGACGATCGAACGCCATCGAAGGGGTACCGAGTAGTCCCATAAGCATCGAATCCATACCTTAATTGAACAGTACTTTCAAAGGCTCGGCAACATTACGTACCCATCATCGATGTATTCTTCTTCTCCTTTCTCTCCCTAAACAGTTCCTCGCGTAGCGCACGGCCTTGCACATCATATAAGCGTTGGGTAATGAACCTTTGCTTGAAACCGGTCAACACTACACCATGAATTCGTCCTTTCCACTCAACATAAGCCGCTGCACTGTCAGGCACGGCCTGTCATTGTCAACCACACAGATTTATATAGAGATAAAAACCATAGTCCTACCAAAATAGAGCCATGAGATGTACTCACTTCAACCTTCTCTAAAAAGGACAGATCTAGGACGAAATGCCATTGAACGAACACATACACACAACTACCGAATTGCTTTTGGGGAGCCTAGATCTTGCAATTGCTCCTCCAATCCGCGAACGACTCTTAGCAGCAACGTAGTTATGAGCGAGATAGTGCAGTGGCAGCGGCCCGGGCCAACGGGAAAGACGTCGTGGGATCGAATTTTCGGCGAGTTTTGACTTTTGCTTTTCCTGAGGACATTGTTAAGGAAATCCTCATCTATGCTAAGTCATCAGCACTCGCCTTTATTACTAGTGCGAGGAGATAGCGAGGAGTTTCGATCAAGTGTGCGTGCCATGTGCAAATGACCAACGGTGACTGCCCACATTTGCAAAGTTAGGTACAAATTTCAGATTTGGACAAAAGTTGTGGAAAGGGGCACTATTTGACTATGCGCGCTGGAAAAATAATCACCTCTGTTTTGCAAATGAAATGTCGCCTGACACGTGCGCTAGCGATAGAAAAAAAAAAACACCCAAAAAAAAATAAGGAACCTAGCAAGAGGCGATTCTTTTGACGAATGGGCCACACGTGAACTGCTCTTCGCTTAGCTATCCCATTGTAATTAAAGGCATGCGCTATAATATATGATAGAGCATCTTTAGCAAGTCAAAGAAAACCAAATGTGGGATAACTCGCAAGAATTCGATCCCACGACCTCTTTCCCGTCCCCGGGCCGCTGCCACTGCACTATCTCGCTTCATAACTACGTTCAGGAATCGTTCCGCAGATTTGGAGAGCAGATTCGAGATCAGCGTCCAAAAACACATCTAGTGGTGTATGTCTCGTTACAAATGGCCACTTCGACCTGGGATCCTTCCCTTGTAAGTTGCTTTCAGTGACAGGAAATTTTGGCTAATGCGTTCTACTCTTATCGAGTTGAACTCCTTACCAACTTAATTTTTAGCAGAATGGCCGCAAGCTATCGTTTGAACGTTTCCTAGGCTTCCAAGGTTTGAAACATTCTGAATTTATAGCTGGCGGATTTTCCACAGATATTTCAGGTTCTGGCTTGAGCAACTTCGGAAATGCAGACAATGAGGGAACTCCCAATATTTGATCGCCCTCCTGAAGAAAGTCGGGAAGTGGGTCAGAATGGAATTATTTAGAAATAACATTCACCACTAGCGCAGTGTATACTCTATGCAAAAGGCAACATTTAGGAGTTGCTCCTATGGAATGGGCCTCTGTACAAGACGGTCTGTACAAACACCAGTCCGTTGATAAAACTTACAATTAGACCTGTGACAAATTTAGTGGAGTGACAAAAGTGATGGAGGGAAAGGGGAGACTACAGGAAAATATCAGCACTGTGTATGCACGAGTTTGGACGGGTGAATTGCATTATGCTTGAAAAAGTGATGAAGGAACAGGATGGGCTCAGATCCATCAAAGCTTCACGTGACTGCCACTGTTACCCAAAGAATTTGTAAGACCAAATTAAAAACGCCAAGTGGGGAGGGTCGCCGACTGCTTCGAGTGGGCTTGATGATTTGATTGTTAAATGGTTTCCACCAATAACATCAGTGCTGGTGCACTTGGTAGACTCACCTCCAGCTTCCCGATCGTATAAAGGACCAACGTGCCCGAAATGGGTAGCAAGATCGACGGGTTCGCTCATGTTTCTGAAAGATAAGTAGCGTGTTGTATCCGCAGAGAAGTGATGAAAATAAGGAACCCTTCCTGAAACGGAAAGAAGAAAAAAAGCCCAAGGCGTCATTACCTTAGAAGGGCGGAGACATTTAAAACGGGGCAGAAATCGGAAGAGGGATTCAGAAATCGCTGATCTGACACTAAGACTAAGTCCGGGAGAGGGGAAAATCCCATGAAGAACAATGGTTGCTCAGGTCCTCCTTTAGAATCCCTTCCTCGCCGTAAGGCTCAGTCCCAAGTTCTATTATACAAATGGCTTACTTTAATGTCCCTAACGACATGAGCGTCAAGAATAGTATGATTGGTGACTTAAAGCCGAAATGAAATGGCTATTTTGAAGTTCCTTTAGAAAGCACAGGAACGCACAGCATACAAACTCCTCTGTCAGGACTAAATCTGTAGCAAAGTGCCTCTCCACCAGTACTAGTCTGAAGAAAGTGCTTACTGACCAGCTCATTGGTGTCGGTTCTTAAGAGCAGTTTTTGACGTTTCCTGATTCTAAAGGTTCTAATTTTCGGAACAACAGAACCAAACTCTGTTGTGAAGAACTACCTGGTCAGAAAGAGCTCCCTCTAACGCCAGCACAGGCAGAAACCCAACTGTTTGACCCAATTGTTAGTTGTTTTGAAGTCAAATATCTCACTTGTAGTTGTAGTTCATTCTGGGAAACATCCGCCGAATAAGAGTGTGACCGAAGCGGAATGCTGCTGTGGCAAACGGCTGCGAGATGGCTGCATCGCACGAATCATCGTAACCTGAAAAAAGTGGTGTTCTCGCCGTGATTTCAGATTAGGGAACCCAATGCGCAATGGGGAAAACGCAAAAATTATGTATGTAGGTTGGCGA